CGCGGCGGGACTTTCATCGAATGCGCTGCGCCAGCGACTATTAGTCGAAAGTCGGCGCGATCCTCTTCCCACGCACCACATTGGGGCCTTTATTGTGTATCGTGTGTGAGCCCCCGGCATGCACGCCGCATCGGGAGGTGTGGCAGCCCCGCGGTCGCGACGCAGTACACAGAAAATGAAAGAAACTGAGACTTTTTTTCAGCCCGCACGGTAAAAACAGCTCCTTGTTGATACCCAAGGACCAAGACCCGATGCAAGGACGAGGTTAGGGAAAACATATGGAGCATGGAGCGTCCTTGAATCGGTGTCGGTGTTTTGGCCTTTATCTTGCGTACGGGTCGGTACGGGTGATTTGTCGGCTTTATATGGCGAGTAAAAGCAAGTAAAAGTGAAGCGCCTGTTGGTTAGGCAAACCTGTTGAGCGCCCCTGTAGATTGGTGGCCTACCCGCTCACCGTTTGGCGCCTACAACCAGATGAGTGTTTTACAGCATCCGGTTATTAAGTTTGTTTTTTTACACGGAAAACGAATTTTTTGTTTGGAATTTTACAAATGTTTAAACGTCTCTCTCCCCACCCCGTCCTCCGTCTCCTAACTGTTAACCATCTCTCTCCCCCCTCCCCCATCCCTGTGTTGTGTTGCTTCCCCTTCCTCTCTCTCTCTCTCCACTTCTTGCTTTTTTTTTTCTCCCGCGTGATTGTAAGCGTGCGAATATTTCGGCGTGTTGTGCATACGAGCCGCGGTCTGGCTACGCGCGCGCGACCCCAAGCATCAGCAGCGTAGGCACGCACTCACACATCCACGCGGTCGCCGTGTCTCCCTCAGTCGTTCCCCGTCCGCGGCGAGGAGCGGTTGTCTCGAGTGGCTCCCGCCGGCCCGGCCCGCCTCCTCTGTCTCTGTCGCGCGCGCAGTTTAAAGCATGGGCCGAGCGTCGCCGCCGCTGTCGCGCCTTAGTGTCGGCCTGGGGTATTAACGGCTCTCTATCATAGCGTAATACATTGGCGTACGTGTGTGTGTGTGTGTGTGTGTGTGTTTGTGTGCGTGTGTTTACGTCTGGGTGTGTGCGTGCGTGCCCCAGTACGTGGCGGTATGCGAGTCTGTAGTTGTGGACGGTGCGATATTTATACGAGTGAATAATTATCAGGTGAATGTGAGAAGCGCTCAGCCGGGTACGCGCCCGCCCGCGCTTGTGTGTGTGTGTGTGTGTGTGTGTGTGTGTGTGTGTGTGTGTGCGCGTTCGTGTGGGTGTGTATGTGTGCTAAAGTGAGTGTGCAGAAACCGGACCACTCTCGATCTCTCAAGACCCCCGAGGTTTGCACTACAGCTGCCACGTGCAGAAACGCTTACGAGGAATCATTGAGTGAAATCATGTGTTCACGCTCACGCGCACGCGCCGCGCCGGGACTAGAATCAATCGTAAACGGCAACATTCCTTGTCGAGTCGTGTTTTGGTGACACAAAGTTCACATTAACTTGCCTGTTATTTACTGCCTCAAACTGTTTCTGCTGCTACTGCCAACTATGTTGAATGCCACATTCAGTAAATAGCTGGATAAATTAAATTGTATACAAGTGTCAATAATAATGTATTTTATAAGCTTTAATACTCTCGTAAAGGCAGTAAAACTGCAGAGTAACTCTTTGAGGTTCCTCAAATAATGTCGCAAATCTTGGCCGCAGTGCAAACTGCAGCGCTTGGAAAATTTCAAGAGGCCTGAACCTCTTATCACCTCTTCTTCTGAATGCTTCATATTTCGTAGGAACTGCAGCGTTCAAGTGGCCAGTCCCGTAATCAGCTTAAGTAACGTGTCTGTAATCGCGCCGGCCGATTGTCCTGGTGTCCCCGTCGCCTCATACGCCTCACCTTGGCCGGTGCCGCGCTGCCAAAAGCCGAGTCATGCTCGCCTCATGGCAGGCCTCAGTGGCGGGCCTCAGTGGCGGGCCGGGGCCCCCATGGCGCGCCCACCTGGTGTCACGGACGGCAGCCGCGCGCACTTGCCCGAGCCGACCCCGCGCGCCATGCCATGCGGTGGGGGGGGGACCCGCCGCCACCAGCCGCCATGGAAGCTCCGCGGCGGCGACTCGGTTTGTCGCGAGTCAACTTTAAGGCGCTGTCTTACGGCGTGTCATTGAGGCTGACGTCGCGGAGCGAAGCAGGGGAGGCAGGAGGAGGGGCACGTACGTGTGTCAGGAGGCTGGCGCCGGCGTGTCGCGGCCAGGGCTCGGCACCAGAAGGGCACGGCGTCGCTCGCGTTGGACAGGGCATGGGCGTGGGCGACAGGCGCCGTGAGGTACGGCCTATACGAGGTATGCGACAAACTTTTCGTGGGCGGTTTTTCGTTTTGGAATTCTCGTTAAAAGGGCTTTGTTGTGGGGTCTTTCGCTATCGTCGCCTTTACGAATAACGTTGGCCTTTTCAACGTCGCACACCCGTCTCCTTCGAAAAATCGTATTCTATTTTTCACGTTTGGACGGATGGAATCGACTTGGCCGTAGAGCTGTCAAAGGAACGGTGGGCTACGCCTTCCTATCCTATGGGCCCGCCCCACGGCGGCCTCGTCCCACTGCGATACATATGCGATGGTCCGCCCGTCTATCTGCTGGTCCGTCCGTCTTTCGCCGGGCG